CATAGCATGGTAGTGATTAGGTGAGGTTTTGCAATTCATCTCCCCCAAGTTATGATACTGCACAAAGGTGCAGCATCTCGAGGTGCATTCTGCTCTCACAGCCCCACAGAGCTGCTGTGCAAAATCTTCAAGTGGGCTTTAGCAGAGGTGGCCACTGAGAGCTGAAAGAAGTTCAGAGATGCAAAGCCCTGCGGGAATTTGAGATAGGGCTGCTACCTAAAGACAGCACAGAATGGGATGGTGTAATTTGAAGCAGCAGCTGGCACTGTAAAGTTAAACAAATCTCACTTCAGCCTCTGGGCAGCCCCAGATCAGCTGATGACAAAAAAGGATTTGCTTGTGCTCATGTATATCATGAAGACAAAATAAGCTATTTGACCTCAAAGAAAAAAGCTGTCAGAAAAGAAATGCATGCAATTTGGTGATGAATATAAATGTAGAATAGAGAGAGAAAAGTCCCTTCCCATGAAGCTGCAAGGTCTGTGTGCCCTTTAGGTTCACCTTCAGAGAATCCTCAGCTCCTGCCAGCTGTTTTACCTTGCCATGCCCAAATTATCCCTGTTTTTCAGACCATGTGCTCATCAGTCTTTGACAAGAAACAACTGACAAAACAGCCTAACTTGCACAAGCCCTTGTTCCGTTTCTAAGCTGTCTCCTACTGTCACCTCCTTCTTCCTCCTGTCACTGTGCCCTGAGTCTTGCCCTCTGCTGTAGCTCACTTTTCTCTTATGTCTTTACAGTGAGTGAAAGCACAATTACAAACTGCCGTGCAGAGAACACCTATTCTCCCCTCCAGGAGAAAGATGGAGCTTACTGTGTGTACATTGTGTCAAGCCATGAAGGACAGAATAGCAAACACTGTTACTGTTCAAAAAAACTGACTTGAATACCAATTTCCAACCTGGTTGATTTTGCAAACCCCTGCCAGGAAGAAGTTAAGAGTCTTCTCTCAACATGCTCCCTGAAAAATAAGTCATTACATTGACATAGACACATATTGATAAGAGTAGGCTCACACTTGCCCTCAACAGTGATTATCCTTGAATGCATACTAGTTTAAAAACCTAACCTATATATAAGTCTCCAAAGATGTATTTTTGGGTCTCTGGATGTGGGAGAGCAAAGGGTCAGGGTCACCAGGGTGCTGGTGGGTAGAGGGAGGGGAGATGACTGGCAGAGAGGCAGCAAGAAGGGGCATTTGTTGGGATGGACTGGCTGGGGTTATAGCTCCTGCCAGTGGCAGGACCTGTCCAAGGAAGAAGCTGAGGTTTGGATGCAGGTAGCAATCCACAGCTCAACTGATTTTTATTTAGCTGTTTGCACCCTTTGTGTAGTGGAGCCAAGATCACGACATTACTCCCATCACATTCCAAATTATAACTCCCAGTTTCATGGTAGTGCATCATGCTGTATAAATAGTGATGCAGTGCTCCCACAGAACACCACAATCCTCAAATGGTAATTACCACTCAGCAGAAAAATACAAGATTCTCCCATTTACAGCCATGCAACTGCCTTTAAGATGAATATGGTATTAGGAAACTTATGCCAAAGCTCTACAACCTTGTAAAGGACATTTTGGGTTGGGGTGGGGGTAGCATATCATAGGCTTCATCAGAGCAAACTCTGAAACTGATTGCCACCACAGACACCCACTTGGAAAAAAATGAAAAAGAAGTGTAATAACATGCAAGATTTAAAGACAGATTTGCAGCCTTACTGTAGCATCATTTAACTTCCACTTATACACACTGATTTATTTCAGAGAAAGTTCAGTCTATTTTCTTCTCCAGATAACATTTGTCTGAATTTCCCTGAATCCTCTGCTGACTGTCAATGGGTAGCAAGTGTGGAAAAAGCAGTCACATGGAAGATTAACTTCACTGTGGTTGTTCAAAGCCAAGTGTAAGTCCAAGACTGGATCCTAGGTGAAAGAAATTCTGATAAAACCAAGGACCAAATCTTTAATTCTGAGCTTGCTCACTAGACAAATGTAAGCATAAAATTAAAATAGCTTTGATACCAGTCATTTTTAACTTGGAGGAGAATATGTTGGAATCAGTGATGTTGTACCTGTTTAGGTTATCGAGGATTTTGGCCCTATACTTGTTCTCATGTGTCTCCCTTTTGCTTGATGTATTTCAAGGGAAATAAGGACTTTATATGGGATATAATTACACTTTGGTCTAGTATCTCGAGTTATTTTTCCAGCGGAAACTTCTGGGTGGGAAAACTTGACGCTTCAAAAAGCATGCCAAAATTTAGTGCAAGTTTATATTTACCAAAGGAACATTTGACATTTCATTGATGCATCACAAAGAGAAATAAGGGACACACCTGACAGGATTATCTCGTAATGAAGTATTTTAAAACAAACAATGGCACTGCCCAGCAGTAAGAAAAAGCAAAGCAAAAGCAGGAGAACTAAAAAGGAAACAGCTCTGATCTACAGAGAGTGTGAATATTACTCACAGCACAATGACACATAGTACAGGAGAAAGCTTGGACAAAAGCATATCCAAAATGCTGAATATTTTTCAATAGGTCAAGGCATTTTCAATGCAAATACAAAAGCACTTTATTGTAATTGCATACCCTATCATCTTAAGTGTTTTCAAAAATCAGCCATGCATAAATTTTAGTGTGGTGATTTTAAATTTCTTTAGAGATATTTTTGCTTTCAGTCCATCTTATTATAACAGGCCTTTCTCACACAATTTTCATGAGACCTCTAAAGACACAGTGGTTTTCTATCCCCAAATTACCATACACAAAATAGATTGGGTTTATCAGAGATTTGCACTATTTTTCAGTTTCCTGTCTAAGCCAATCTCAACTTTCCTGGCAAATGATAATGAAAAAGACCATTAAGCAAAGCAATAAAGAGTAATATAAAAGCTCATTATAAGCCCAATTCATAAAATTACAAGCTGTAGTGTGCAGTACGCCCAAGTAAAACCGAAAACCAAGTTCAAGCATACCAAACGAGATTATAAATTAGCTGTTGTTTTTCTGCCTGAGAAAAGCCATTCTTTAATGAGCTTGGAAACACAGCTAAATATTTTCTTTCATAAATTCAAGAAAAAGCCATACCACTATTGAGACTTCTGCTGGGCAGCTTTTTCTCGTCTCCCTTTTCCTCTTTTAAATTTTAAATATTGCATAGGAACCATTTGCTCTGTGAGGTTCCCATAGTTAGGACCAAACCCTTCTCAGAGGAATTTTGGCACCTTATTAATTAGCTGGTTATGAGAAGGAGCTGCACTCTTTCAGTGACTCCTATTTCACCATCAGTAAAGTGTGACACCATAATAAATTTCCATCAAGCAAACTATTTCTGGTAATTCCCCCTAATTAACACCAGACTGCTAATAATAAATTAGGCCCTATGTGTTTCTGATATAACCAAGATCTTGTCTGAGCACAAGATATTAACCAATGTCCCAAGAAAGTAAAACTTGAACCTAAATTAAGCCTTTGCTGGTAAAAGGATTTATATGCAATTTTGTGAGAAACCCTTTGAAGACCTCATATAGGGCATTTTGACCAGCAAATATTTTGAGTGACAGAGAGATTTGTTCTGTGCTGAGCAGTGAAAGTGGATTTATTGTGAAAACACACCATTGCATTTTAAGCCTATAAATCTTACACTGGATTACAGCATCTTAATGAATGAATGACAGATCTCTTTTTTTTGTTGGTCGGTGCATTTTAATGTTACATGACGTTGTGATTGATAGAAACCAAACCTTTGCCATTAAAATGTCAAATGCAGACTTCATGCCTTTAAAAATTTGGCTTCTGGAGCTTAATGTACTGTTTGCAAATAGACTTGTGTTTGTCTCGCTCATAGCCTAAACACTGAAGGGGAGGCAAGTTTTCTGTAAAGTTGCCTCTAAATTTTATAGAGCTGTGTGCAGTGTTTTCCTTTGCCTGTGTAAATAAAAGTAAAATACAGCAGTGCATTTTCCTGTTTAAGAGATGCTCAGTGAAGGGGATTCTTACCAGACTGATATCATGAAGGAACGGGCCCTGTCAGAGCAGACAGTTCAGTGCCCCACGGTGAAAACAGAGCATGCCAAGGCTGAGTATGGTATCAGACAATCCTGCCAGAGCAGGCAGTATTTCCTTGGACAGTGTCAGCTTAGGAAAAATATTAAACCCTTCCAGAGAAACAGTGCAAAGTATTCTAGGCAGGCAGCAGAATGGAGAAGGACAGCAAATAAACAGTAATTGGCCAATTAAGTTTTACATTTACATATTCTACAGCATTCAACACAGTATTCATACCTTTCCATCCATCTTGAGAAAACATGAAGAATCAGAGACTCACCGAGCTTGGAAGGGACTTTGACTAGTCCAAGGGCTGTATCCAGTTGGGTTTTGAATATCTCCAAGTAGAAAGACTCCACAATCTCTCTGGGCAACCCGTGCCAATGTTTACCATCCTCACAGTTGTCCTCTCACTACATACCAAACCTGGCTGTTTTCTTGACTCTCCTGTGCAGGTATTTGTAGTCATTGATGAGGTCTCCTCTGAGTCCCTCTTTTCCAGGCTGAGCAGTCTGAGCTCTCTCAGCCTCTCCTTGTGTGACAAATACTCCATGCCCCTCACCACCTTCCCTGCTCTTTACTCCAGTACAGCCATGTCTCTGGAACTGGTGAGACCAGCACTGGACTCAGCTCTCCAGATGGGTCTCACCAAGGCTGAGCAGAGAAGGATAACTTCTCCCATCTGCTGGCAATCCTCTGCCTAATGGACCCCAGGAGGCTGGTGGTCTTCCTTGGCTCAGAGGAGTTATCATTGGCTCATGGTCACCTTGGTGTCACCAGGACTCCCTGGTCCTTCCCTGTAAAACGAAGCTAAAAAACCCATAAAACCTGGAGAATGAGCAGCTCAGATACTATCTATTCATGTGTACAATCATGGCTTTCCTTTACTGGCTATGATTCAGGAGAAGAAAGTATCCAACAACCACAAAATAACTGAAGACAGAGAATTTCAGGTATTGAGTAGGGTTTATTCGCTTGTTATGTTTTTCAATTGTAATTAAATTTGCAAATGTGAACAGACACAATTTAATGCCAAAGATTATTAAACACAAGCAAAGAAATCACCAGGATTTAACAGCTGGTATTTTAGCATAAAACAATGTTTGCAAAGCAGCTGGCATGGCTAGATGATGCAAGTAGCTCTGTGAAGAAATAGGTACACAACTAACAGACCAACACACAGTGAACCACAACTCAACTCCTGCTTTTATGTTTACGGCGTTGTTATATTAAGCATTTATATTTACATGTAATCCTGAATTATTTCATTACGACTTACTGAAACTGTCATCATGGATCAATTATTCACTTATAAAGACATTCTACCTCCAAACAGAGTTAAGCCAAATTCTCTCACAGGCAGTTTTGGAAGAAAAACAACGACTGACTGAAAATGCATGCAAAGATCTACAGTAGTTAGGTTACTAATACATCTGTCCTGACTCACTCCCTCATAACATGAATGCTGTATGTGTGTTGTATGAAAAGAAGTTGGGAATCCCACTAAATTCCCAAGTGATTTTTTGCTATGTCAAGTCTGCATTCAAATACACATTTATAATTATGTTTCTTAATGCACATGCATACGTGTGCATCTAGAAAAAAGTGTATTTAAACACATACACTCAGACCCCAAAAGATCCTAGAGGTAAAGGCAGGTTTAAAATAAAACAAAATAATACCAGGATGAAATAGTTCTAAACAACAACAACAAAAAAAGGTAATAAATATTCAGTGAGATATATGGCATTATTATAAAGTGCTCTACTAAAATCTCACTTATTAAAATAACAATAAAAATTATGTTCCTTTTAATTGATTTATATAATTTGGTAAAGCCATTAAATATTCATTATCTATCAGTGACTATGCTTCCTTTAAAATTTTAAACAAATAGATAAAAGCAGAAATTAAAAGGCAAAGCAGCTAAATGAAGCAGTTCTATTGGAGCCTTTCAGGCTTTTGTCCTGAAATTCATCAACAACCTCAAAATTTCAAACCCTAGAGCATATGGATTAAAAATAAAATTCCAATTAGAATTATGAGACTAAACAAAATTTAACTGGATTTTAAGGAAAATGACAAACTGAGAAGTTTTTATCCTACGTTAAAATTGCAAGGTTTGAATTGCAGAAATTACATAACGCCTTTTCCTGTGCATTTCCCCCTCTTTCCTCACACATGTGCAATAAAGCTCCACTGAAACCTAGTCCGTAGGTCTCATTTCTCCACATTCCACTTAATTTTAAAAGCAACCTGGCTTATATGCTACTGTATCTTGTCCAGTCTGCTTCCATCCTTCTGATTTTCAGCCAACTCACAAAAGGGTAGATCTACAAGAGTGTAAACATTTTAAACAGCTTTATACCGTACCACCAAATTTCTTATTTACCAACATTCATCAAATTTACTAAATTTCTTCTGTACCACCGGAAGTTAAAAAAGAAATGTGGTAATATTGAACAAAAACAACTTCAGGAAATAAAGTGAAACAGCCCCACAATGTGAACCTGTCCCACTGAATCAATAAAAAGCCAAATATTTTTTCATATTTCAGTACAGCAATATTGAGATTTTTCCCACCTCTTTTGTTGATGTTCCTCATTACAATTGCTTTACTCAACCATAGCAATTTTTTTTTACTTTTTTATCCACGGTTTTATGGATAAAATTATCCCTTTAATCAGTAAAAAAACCCACCCCACAACAAAAAAAAAACCAGTAAGTGGTTATTTTTAATGTCTACTAGAAAGAGCACTAAAGACTAACAATTCAGCTCTGACACCCCAGTTGAATCAAACAGCATGTAAATGCAGTTTCCTTCAGGAATTTGCTCTGATCTCAAGAGAGACCCCTTTACTGTTGAGCAATTCTGCTGAAGCAAATTCACCCTGTGCAGAGGAGCACACCTCCTCCTTGGCTGCCTGCAATTGCTCCAATTAAACCAGTTAAGCCCTAATTTGAAGCTAAGGGGACTGAGCTGGTGCACTGGTCTAGCTGCTGTGTGGATGCAAAATTCCTATCAAGCCACAGAATCAGCTGATCTGGCTAGTGGGAAATGCATAATGACAGCATTGTCTCTCTGCTCCCTTGCAAGATCTGAGAGGTACTGAGCTGCTTCAACCAATGGAATACCATTTAACAATACATTCCCTACATCTGGAAGAAAAGAAAAAAATAAATCCTTAACTAATAAAAATCATAACAGCTGAGCAAGAAAGTTAAGTTTTCAGTACGCTACCTGGCACACCACCAATATACATATTTATGAGCTACCTGGTAAAGAATGTACTGAGAAAAAACCAATGTCCTCAGCTGCACTTCAGCAGCTTCCCTCATTCAACACCAGAATCTCACATTCTGGATACAAAACGCTGTTACCTGCAGATTCAGCACAATTTCCCCTTTACAAGGCACTTAAAGCTACCTAAAACCTGAACTGCAAACAGAAGAGTTGAAATCCCTGCTCCCATAAGATTTGATCTGACATTTTCATTCTATCAAACACACCCTCAGCAGCAGGGGTTTTTGGCTAGTGTTCTGATAGTACATGAGTTACAGAAAAGTATCCTATTTATGTTTTAAGTGGCATCTTGTAAATATTCTTTTTTACCAGCATAGCCACTTAAATGCTTTGTAAAAACCTCTGTCCCTTGCAAACCCACCAGAAATTCAAGTGCAAAGGCACAAGTACATGGAATCATGGAGGAAGCTTCCTGTACACAAATATAAGATTTTTTTTTAAAAAACCCAAATTTTTGGAACTACGTATTTTGTGTAATTCTTATCTTTACTTTGAGTTTTTTAATGGAGTTTAGCTGCAATACTTCTGGACACACTTTAAAAACATTACTGAAATAAAGTGATCTGGATTGCTGAATCCAATCTCCTTGTATTTATTGAATAGCAGCAAGACTGAGACCTCTAATATCAGGTATTTACTTTCATAGATGTTTCACTTCTCATAATGAAACAGAGATAAATGTGGTCATAAAATCATGAATTACAGTAATGTCCAAAGTGTAGAGATCTAGAGTAGAGTGTGTAGACACTCTAATTGTCTGGCTTGGGTGCAATTCCTGATACCTTTCTTTTTATGAAGCAAAATCATAAATTATAAACACTCTGAAAAATTAGTGTACAATCCTTTCTGCAAGTTTCCACATCACTTTTACATTTTAGAAAAATTTGGCATCAATAATTTTAACCAGTTATTGAACATGGACATTTTAACCTTTCTGCTCAGTACATTTGTTACACAAGTCGAGCTCCAAGTTTCAGATATTGATAGAGTGGGCGTGTTTCTTGCACAGTGGCTTGTCCTTCTTGGAGAAGAAAGTCTGGCCCTCCAAGCTGTCACTACATACCTGAAATGGAGTAAGAAACAAAACAACACCCAATTCAGATGGATTATTCAGAATGCCAAATCATGGTATTGTTCTATGCACAAATACATTCCAAGAGTAAGAATTACCTCTTTTTTAGGGATCCTCTTTTTATGTAATACTAATGGATGGTGTAAGTATAACCTTTCTTAAGACAAGAGGTGCTTAAGTGAAAGCACAGTTAGATTCAGAATTTAAGAAAAAAAACCCCCACCCATTAATATTGGGGCTTCTCTTTATAATTTTTTGGTCATACAATATTAACAAGCAATACCTTGGCTACAGTGTCCTTATGTCAAAAGCACTCTTACTACTTTGGAAACACAGCCCATTCCCTTACGACCTTCCACACTTACTGCAAGGAAGTAAATGCTGAGGGTTAAATGCTGGGACACAGGGCTGCAATCCAGGACACCTTCCCTCACACCCGTGCCAAAGGCTTACAATAGCAACACACCTTCCAAATAACTGGGAAAGCACTTTTTGTTTGGGCTCAGGGGATTGAAAGAGGTTAGAGCTGTTCACTCCCATATGGGTCAGGCTAGAACTGCTGCCAGGGTTTGTTTAAGGCACACCAGCTTTACTTACAGAGCATACAAAGCAGGTGTCATGCCAAGTGTGGCCCAGGGCTTCAAGAAACCTGTCTCCAGCTTCAATGGGGAATTCACAGCCATGGCACATCGTACCGAAGAGGGCATAGTAATCTGCAGAGAGACACAAACAGCTTTTAAAGCATATGCAGAAAAGTAGGACTGACCTTCGAGAGCTTTGATCTTTCATTGGCAATAGATTTGGACTTCTGAGCTTTATTAGACTGAGTATACTGAATAAAGAGCTCCTAGATTGAAAGCCTGGGATGTTGACTTCTTGCTAATTCAGTTCTCTACCTCATCCTTTCAACTGGGCAATGCTTCCATCTTCCTGGTGTTTCATTTCCTTGAGATCAACAGTGGGCTGGAGTGGGGGAAATGCACTCCTTGAGAGCACCCACGTGAACTCTATATGCTCCAAAGTTCTCTCCAACTCTGCTTTGAAACCACACCCCAGCTGTTCACACTACAGACCTTCTCAGAGAGCAATGAACTCCGACCTACATTCTGGTGCAATTTTCACCCCAGAGTGCACTACTCAAAACCATGTAACCATTAGCCTTCTGTCCCAATTAGAGTCTAGAAATTTGGATCATCAGAATATCTTTCCAGTCACTGGAAAAGTCACGTTACATGACTTTTAAAAAAAACAACAAAACAAAACCCCAAAACAAACCAACAAACCCTTCCTCTCCATTACTATGGAGAAGCTTCTCCAGCAATCTCAGGGAGCAGGGACTAAAACAAATGGCATTGAACCATTCAATTTCCTCAGCCCAAGCTGTCTGGTCTTTTTCACTTATTTCAACTCTCAAACTCCCCATTCTAGGAAACAAATGTTTTATTTCTGCAGAGACAGCAGTGGCATTAATGCTATAACATGAGAGAATTTGAGACCATCACAATACCATGGCAAACATGCCATGCAACATTATGTCTTCATAAGATGAACTGCAGTCAAAGTGACAGCCATAACGAAGCTTTGGACTCCATCTACCAGTAGCAGAGTGTTACTACCATAGTAACACTGCCTCTAACAGGGAAATTAGATGCCAGCGGTCATTTCCAAAGGAGAATTATTCCCACCAGGTGGGAAACTGGGTAAAAGTGGATTTTGTTTCTCACCTGGATTGTACACATCTGCTGAAGCTCTAATGCTTACTGCAGCAGAGCCCACAGAGGATCACCAGATGTGTCAAGCCCAAGAGAAAAGTCTTGGTTTTGTTTCCTAAGACAGTGTTTTGTGTGATGACCTCCCTGAAAATGAATCATCATAGGAGACATCTCAACAGCAGATGTCTCTCAACACAAGTGCTCTGGAATAGCAAAGCCCTCGATAGCTGCCAGTTGCAAGAAACTGCTTCACTGATCACCTCCATTAATCCATGCTACTGGAATGAATTTGTTAAGTGTTTAAGAAGAAAGCAAAATAAGAACATTAAATGGTAGGACAGACCTGTGCAAAACCCCTGAAGAACATGGTCTCATGACTGTACTCTTTCAGCTCTTTACATTTGTGGTCATACAGAATCTTACTGATATTTTCCTGGTGCCAGCAGTTAAAACCTTTTGTAAGTTGGCCTGTGGTTGTGTTGATAAGTTTATTGGCTTTTCTTCTAAAGAAAGGGCAGTAGATAAGGCAGAATGAAGGGCATCAGCTTTCTTTTGCATGCTTGAATTGCGATACCACAGAAGCCTTCCAAGGCAGACTTTTTACATAGTCACATATCAGTGCTTCCTGCACACAGCATTTTCAAAACTAGGCTACTAACTCTGCCCTTAAAAAATGTTCAAAGTTGTAGATATCCAGACTTTTATGTTAATTTTAGCCACAACATCTAAACCCAGAACATTCTGCAGATTAATTCCCCTTTAATACTAATAGCTAATGCTGTTATAATTTCAAATACAGGTTTAAAATTAGAACTCTCCTTTGCACTAGGAATAAGGAAAGTTGGCAGTGACATTTACTCCTTATTTCTTTAAAATTAGTCATAGACTCATAACTCCAGCTGGACTGAAAGTCTTTGAAAAATTAATATAACTCAAATTAACATCTAGTTAGTGAGCCAGAGCCATTACAAAGTATCACTGCCAATAACACCTCACAGATTGTGTCTGCATTAACTTGCACTAGCAACTTTTTATCTCAGAAATAAACTTTGTAAGAAGTGTAGTACACTTGACATCTTACCACAGTTTTTCCCACTTATAGTATAGAAAAAGGCACATTTTGTACAGGAATTGTAACAGTAGCACAAATCAATGGACTGCACGACATGCAGGTCATTTGGTGGCAGGAACAAGAATTGAACCTTAGGAGAACAAATCCTCTCACGAGCTTTCCACCCAAAGGGGAGTTATTGATTCCTCCAGTACTATTTTTGAATCATCAAATGGTTTCAGGATTAGGGGCTTCACATGGCTTCAGGATGAAATTTCACCGTGCTGTCACACTGGAGGATGCCACTCGTATACCCATTTCCTCTGCTGCTCCACAAATTCAATAGGAGTAACACCCTACCCTACATTTGTCACCAAGTTAGCAATAACCTACTGTGTCCTTTTGTATCAGCCAACATCTCATTAAAGCAGCTCTTACAAGAGAAATTTTGGATAAATTGGCCTACTTCCCTCATGCTTACAGTACCTAGCACTCTCCCTGGCACCCACTGTGAACAACTCTGGGACCAACTCAGAAGGAAATCAAAGCTCCAAAGAGGTCATTAGAATTTCATGCTAAATCTTTTCTGGTCAATCCATTTCTACATCTATGAAACTGCAATGTTCCTAAGAGTAGAAGGAAAACCATAATAAGGGTCCAACTGACAGTTACCAACACAGCATGCACTGTGAAAACAGATAGTTTTCATATAATTTTGTCTCTTCTATTTTGTGGGAATTGTTTATTTCTTTCCTAGCTCAGAGGAGTACATGGAAAGTTTTAAGTGAACTAGAAAACCAACTTAAATAAAAACCGTTCATACTAACAATAATAGGCTGACAAGAGGCTCAGCATGGCCTGGCAATGTGCACTCACAGTCAAGAAAACCAAAGGTATCCTGGGCTACACCACAGGAGGAGTGGCCAGCAGGCAAGGGAGGGATTCTGAACCACCTGCTTCACTGGAAGTCCTGCATCCAGCTCCCAAGAGGCATGGATGGGGACCTGCTGGGGCAAGTCCAAAGAAGGTCACACAGATGCTCAGAGGAATGGAGCACCTCTCCTTTGAGGAAATGCTCAAAGAATTGTGGTTGTCCAGCCCAGGAGAAGAGAAGGCTCCAGGCAGACGTTACAGCACCTTCCAGGAAGGGGGCCTAGAGGAAAGCTGCAGAGGGACATTCTACATGGACAGACAGTGATAAGACAAGGGGGAATAGCTTTAAGCTGAAAGATTCAATTTATATTGGATAATAGGAAGACATTTTTTCACTGTGGTGGTGGTGAGGCACTGGAACAGTGTTGTGGATTTCCCATTCCTGGAGATGTTCAAGGCCAGCTGGATGGGGCTTTGAGCAGCATGGTCTAGTGGGAGGTGTTGGCAGAGGGGCTGGAACCAGATGATCTTCAAGGTCCCTTCCAACCCAAACTATTTTATGACTTTATAAAAAATGTTATGATTAGCTGGAAGTGCTAAAAACCAAACCAGAAATGCTCTGAGAACTTGTAGGCCACATCGTTCATGGAATATCACTCATCAGGCTTTCAAGTGCTCTAATTTTATCATTGTATTTTTCCCTTGACATTTTTTTTTATTGGATCCTGCAAAAAACTACCTGGACAGACTGCTTATTCTTGGAAGCCCCTCAGGCTGTGAATAAGGCTATTCAGAGAAAACCACATTACTCCACTGCCATTTTCTTGTGTTTGGTAAATAAGCAGATTCACATAAACTTTAGATTACTTCAAAGCCAACCAGAAAACTAAAACTAACACTTTGATGTATCACTGATACTCCAGCTGAGGACTTAACAGGAATAGGCAAAAATCAGTGACAAGAAGCTTGCTGTTGCTAAAGCTGATGAAGAAATCCTTACCAACTCCTCCCGCTGCAAACTAAGGGGTCTACAGCAACAGTTATTGCTTTGAGTTGACATATCAAAGTTACGCGCAATTGCTGGGGCACTTCTAATGTGTAGCTTGAGAAAAGGGAATTATTATTTTTCCCCAACCTTACTGAGCTCTGCTTTCCTGCACAGCTGCAGTAAACTTTGGTTGTGTTGCTTCTTACCCGTCTCACAGTAGGGATCACCATCTTCTAAGTGAAAAACATTATTGCGGATGGGGTTATGACAGGCCACACACACGAAGCAGGAAACGTGCCAAGTTTGTTTCAAAGCATTTATTACTTCCTGTGGGGATTAGAAAAAGTGTTAGGAACACATTATTTCGATGTGATGACTAGAATTGTGGTAGCCATGCCTCCACACTTGATTCATTTCAAGAATACTTCGTTTCCTGCTGCTACTTTGAAAATGGGTTGTGCACACAAGTTCTGCAATGTTAAACTTAATGAGGTGCTTTATTTGTGGTACATCTCCTTATTTTTCATGAGCAATCCTTCGGGGTCTTAGGTAGGTTTGACATAGAGTTGGACAAATTTTAATTCATTTGTTCAAATTCTTAATTTTAATCAGTTTCTCACCCATAATGGGCTCCTGAAATAAGAAAAGCAACATCACTCCCTTCTCTTGAAGTCCATGAAGAGTTAATCAGAAGACATCACACAGAAAATTAAGACTGTTCTGTGCTGTTTTCAAAGATGCTATAGTGCCAAATATGACTTGAGAACTGTGCTGCCAGAGCCCTGCATGACCCCAGTTACACAAGAATGCAGACACATTGCTGTCTGCAGCGAAACAGCAGCCGATCAGCTGGCAGGCTCAAATGAGCAATATCAGTACCCAGTAGGAGAATGCGTTTTTCCATCTACATTAACACTGGGAATATTTCAGTACTTCTCATCTAGCAAGTAGTGTGTTCTTAGTCCTCAGTTCACCTGAGGAAGATTTTTTCTTTTTACTTCCCTCCCCCACTTCCCCCTTCCCATTCTGTAAAAAGCTGCCAATTAATTGCCGATCACATGTTGCTCAGGATAATTTGGTAATGGCAACAGCTACCAAACAGCTTCACAAAAACAGGAGCTGAGTTTAGAAGAGCCAAGGAGCCTACAGCACCTTTTCTCAAAGACATTGAAAAGGTTCAACATTAGAAGATCCAAAGTTTGTATTTTGTATGTGATCAGAGCAGAAAAGGTGTGTCAAGAATATATTTGAAAGAATGCAGACTTGGCCAGGTAAAATGGAATTTCATAGCAGAGAAGCACTGAACACTGTGATTATTGTTCCCACCAAAGAACAGGCCACTTGCTGGTCACTTACCCCAAGGATCTTCCTCTGGCACTTTGAACACTCAGGGGCAAAGAACTTCTCATAGCAGACCTCACAATATAGCATCCCTTTCTCTTCCACAAATCCTATGTACGCCATGGATGTTTTGCAGTGGGCACAATTAAACTCCTCTGGATGCCATGACTTTCCCAAAGCCACCAAGAAGGGTCCTCTGAGTAGAAAGACGAGATATTGTCAGCAAATGCACCTGAACTGGCTCCTGCAACAGCTGTTAACTGATTTATCTGCAATAGCTCTGTGCCATTACTACACTGGTCACACAATACACTGCTCCATCCCTCTTTCCTCCTACAGGCTCTAAGAAAGCTCCAGGTGTTGACTGTATCCATCTCCATTGAACTCTCTCCTAGAAATGCCTGCCCACAATAAACACTAATTCTTTTCACTTCACTGCATTTCAGAAATCTTATCTTAGAACTACATTAAAACCACAGCGCTGAAGTGTCTGCTAGGGAATTGAAGAAGAATGTTTTCCATGTTCCCAATTCCATTTATTGCAAAGAGCCATTTGACTCAGTGACATGATCAGCTCTCCTATAGTCTGCATTTCTATTGAGACTACAAATATAAGCAGACTTGACCTCACCAGGAGCAGATAACATCAGCTTCTTCTCAGACAAAAATTGCTGTCCCTATCCAACAAGTTTCTTACAGGATAATCCACCCTAGTTATAGGAGTATTTTTTGGTACTAAAATAGGTCCATTTTTTCCCAAACACGCAGCTTCCTCTATCATTTGCAAATACAAAAAAGCTATACTTTTAATACCATTTGTCTGGTTAATGTAATGCAGTTAATAAGAAAATAAATTTATCCCTTTTTCAGTCAACAAAAAATTCTCAGTTTGTTACTCATGAATCCCAAATATATATCGTCTCTATATTCATCTGAAAATATATTCAGTATGTTCATATCTTTAGTGAACATTTAGTGAACATAGTGAATATTTACTTTAAAGAGGTGCCTCCAAGGTCCCATCAACACTCAACTTTCCAGAATTTAGGTTTCATATGAACTTTGTGGTTCATCTCCCTTACCAGATTTCCTGTTTTTCCAACCAATAAAGATGTAATTCTTTCAAGTAGTGGAAAGTGAAAAGATGTAATTCTTACTTTTTTTTTTTTCTGATCTAATGCTGCACTTAAAAAAACCTGAAAGGTACTAATATGACCACCTGCTGCTAAACATTGTTTTGGAAATCAAATAATCTACAAGAACATTTTTGTGTAAGATTTTCATATGAACAAAGCAACAGCAATAAAGAGAAAAAACCCCACACAAACAAGAAAAAAACCAAATAACCCCCCACAGTTCACCTTGAAATTTGCTCATGTTGACTCTAAAATGAAAATATAAGTGGGCTGAGAGGACAGAGAACAATTTCATCAAGGATAGAGTATACAGACTGTAATTTTTCTTTTACATTTTCTCTGGCGACACTATATTTTCAGCAGGGTGAGAAGTCCAAGACAAGGGACTCAGGATAGACTTAGGATAGACTCAAAGGTTTAGGGTAACTCAAAGACCTTGTAAGGTGATGAACATCCTTAGTCTGGGCCTGTTTATTCTATTCACCCCTGTTTATTGGAGGGAACAGAGTGAAAAAGGGCTCCTGAAGAGAAGCTTTAAGGAGGGAGCTGGGGCTGAGCGCAGCTCTCCAGCCCCTCTCCCAGCGGATGCCTGAGCTGTGCAAACACTGACCTAACCTGATACCCTCCCACTGCTCTACAAGCACCTTTTTACATCAATGCCCTCTCAGTTATGTACTGATCAAACAATACAAGCCCTTATGTACAACAAAGTGCCCTCAGAGGGCCGTGTCAGCACAGGCTAATTTAACAGATTCATTAACACGAGGCTGACACTAAAGACACTCTCCCAGCTCCAGGTAGGATTGAGTTTCTGGCCATCTGCACTGAAATGACAGGCTCAGCTCTGCAATGGGAAGCAGGCATGCCAGCAACAGGAGGAGAAGGAATTTTTACATCTGCTGCACTTAGCTCTCAAGAGTTTACAGCCCTGATGTGTTGAGGTCAGCCATTCAGGACAGTGCACAGGAACGCAGACGGACCAGGAACAGCTTCAGAGCACACCTATGGAGTTCCTCTCCCAAAGCCCCCAGACAGCTGGGGCTGTGCCCTGCACAATGTCTACGAGGTGTTCCATTAGTGCACTGGCTCCCTGTGCACACATGTCCAGAAGAACACTTTCTAAATACAATTTTACTTTCAATCAGGCCGCAGTTTAAACATGTCAAGCTGATACTGTGGCTTAATGACTCCTTCAACTTAAAAGCTGCCCAAAGCACATGGAAGAAAAAAAAGAAAAAAAAAAAAAAACCTGCCATGTACACTAAAACATGATATTCAGAACTTGGAACTTGGAGGTGTTCCCAGTCTCTGAATAATTTTGCCATCAAAATGATAGCTTCCAGGAAAAAAAAAAAAACCCTGCCATGTAAAATACACTAAAACACGATATTCAGAACTTGGAGGTGTTCCCAGTCTCTGCATAATTTTGCCATCAAAATGATAGCTTCCAGTAATGAATGTATTTAATTCCTCTATTAATTTGAAAAGGACTTTAAAGCCCCAATTTGAGTAAGGGGCAGGATGCCCACTCTCATGCAATGTGACAGAAGTAGCTAGGGGGATGCAATGCTAGGAAGATGGCTGTAGATTCTTCATCCTTCATTTCCTCCTCATTTAATACCAAAACCAATAAAATTCCCACATGCCTCTGTCAATTAGAACATATTTGTAAAAGCAGTGCTAAAACCCCACATTCCTACTGTCTAAATGGGATATGGGATGACCCAACTGGCAACAGTTGGCTATGAATGTGCCTCTACCCCAGGCTACTTTGACATGCTGAGCATTTCTGAACAAATTTCTGGCATTACCACCTAGACCACGTGAACAGAACTCAGAGATGAAAACAAACTAATAATTTATTATTTCTTGGAAAGAAATTCTGATTGATTTACAAGAGTATTTGCAGAATCTAATGCTCTAAAGGTACATGATTTTAGCAGTCACCTCAGACATCTGGGTTCTACATGCAACAATGATACTGGGGCAAACTGAAAAGAGAAATGAGTAACTTAAAGGAAACATAAGCGAAATTCTGATTGATTTACAAGAGTATTTGCAGAATCTAATGCTCTAAAAGTACAAGATTTTAGTAGTCACCTCAGACATCTAGGTTCTACATGCAACAATGATATTGGGGCAAACTGAAAGGAGAAGAATAACTTAAAGGAAACATAAGTGCAACTTCAATGACTTAACGCTCATAACTGACTATAACTTCATCAGTATGATCATGATGTATTTTATTAATACGCCAGTAATTTAGTTTCTCATGTGGCTTTTATTATGCTAGTAAGCCAGAACTGAAATTTGGCGGTAGAGAGATCAAAAAGGCTTTTCACATCAGCTAGGAAGGCCAATCACTTCACAGTTAACCATACAGCAGTTCTACATTCTTCAAGTTTCTTCTTCTCCTCCCCTGAAAGTGCCACAGTATACAATTTGTGTACAGGAGATGCTGAATGGAAGCACCATTTGTACTTTTTCCTTTGTAGCTTTTTGCCTTTAAAAACAATTCAGCTTTATGAAAAGGTGACAAAGCCAAGGCATCATTCACAGCAGCCATGCCAAAGACTATGTTCTCAATGGCAATCCAGAGAAAACACATTTGGACTTCAAAGCAAGAGCCAACTCTGCAGTGCAGAACTTGGTGAAGCTGTCTGGGAACCAGAAGCCTTCATCAGGAAATGCCAGAAGTCTGCCAGGCCGTCACAGCAAGTAGATCAAGAGAAATTTAGTTTGCCTCCAGCTTTGATTCTTTTAGACATGGAAAGAAAAGCTTACTTAATGAAGCTTTGGAAAAAACTGGAACCTTCAGACAATCACTGTGTGAATAATTGAAGATAAATTAAAAAGTTATAAGGTATCTCTAAGAAAGGTTTTGGCTCATCCAGCCATGGTTATTCTATGCCTGAGTGTAAAGTAACCAACTCCAGAATGCATTTTGGCTTCAAAACAGATGTACAATGCAATGCCATTTGATCCTCCTCCTACCTTTTCATAGGTAAAGCTACCACTGAAGTGTAATTATGCTAAAACTTGAACTCAAAATGCCATTGCAGTCTTCCACATCCACTGTATGCTGTGAACATGAGGCATATTTGGCATTGATTAATGCACATCAACTCATCTGGGAACACTTGCTTTTAATAATTGAGCAGTCATTTAACATATGAAGAAATATAAGGATTTAAACACCACCAGCAAATTACAAAGACGTCAGATGTGGGTACCAATTACTATTCATGAAAAGGTGTCACTTACAAGAGGTGACAATGGCTTAAGTACAGTCAAGTGGGGCCTCTGCAGTTTGCCCTCACTATCCACTAAGGAGTAAATGTTGCTCCACAGACCAATAGACTGCCCTGCTTAGAGGGCAGCAGCTCATCTCTTTTTTGTGATCAAAATGGGGGAGTGGGGAGCAACAGAAAGTGATTTAAGGGCCAAGAGGAGAGGGGAACTGCTCAGCACTGAGACCTCACAGCACAGAGCACCAGCACACCCTGATAAACCACAACTGCTGTAAAATATAAGGAAGCCTATTGTATGAAAGATGCAGCATATAGTGCACTTTGTGTTTGGTTTCAAACTAAAATAATAGCACAAAAAAGAAAATTAATAGTTTCTTGCATGTTATTTACTAGACACAAATCCAAATCCCAGACAACAAAAACGATAGAACACTAAAGACAGACAGAATTATTATATAGGCCAAACTGTTCAAGGAATCAGATTAAGCTCATCCCAAAAATAAGTACTCTTTTTCTGATATTAATCTCTGATTTTTCAATGAAGAAAAAAAACTGGATTAAGATCCATAGGTGCACCTGTGTTGGGAATGTGTGTAAGGATTTTCTATTGCTTCAAGGGGGTTAGGTTCATATATTTTTATTTTATTTCCTTGATGTATCCAGTGGAAGTAGGAATAACTTTTCCAAAAAATCACAGATCCATTAGTAAAAAGTCTTGTAAAATTAACCCCAGTGCTAACTGAACTGGTAGTGAACTACTGCAACAGAAATCTCATGGAAGCAAACAAACTGGACTCAGTTCACCCCTAAAGGTAAGTGACTTGCATTGGCTGGTTCTGATGTACAATCCAAGCCAGGGCTCAAGAGGCTACAAAAACCTACAGTGGAAAGGCTGATTTTCTATTATAATTAATGAAAATTACACAGCTCATGGATTTCCTCATTTTTCAGAACTTCCTAATCAATAAAGTCTCTTTCTTTAATCTTGGTGAAAGATAATGCAGGCTGTCTTATTTTGTCCACTGAAAGCAGAGGATATAGATAAATAAATTTCAAAATACTATTAAAAAAGCATTACTTTCCCCTTGTAGTTCAACAATACAAATGACTGAATAAGCAAGAAGAAAACACTTTGGAAGAACGCTTTTTTTTTTCAATAATCCTACGAGATTTCTATTTTAGGGAAAACAAAATGCAAGGTGCATAAAAACAAAGATGATTTGCACACTGGCAATAAAAGCTATTACAATTCCCTGAATGAGGCAATCATGACTAATTGTCAGAAACCACTGACTGAACAATGCAACCCAGATTCAATTCTTCCTCCATACAAAATTCTGGCTAATTGTAGCATATCTTATGGGATCAGCAGAACTTATTTAACTTAATCTCTATTGGCAAACTTGTCTTTGTGTTGTACCCATGTCATACAAGTCAAGGACAATAGCTTACCATAATGTCCAAAGGCCAGGGAGCCGTAAGAGAGCTTGAAATCCAGCAATACAGGAAATTTTTATCAATCCAGTCCTAGTAATTGTTAAAACATCCCTTGCTTTTCTTCTATGGATGTTGTTTTTCTTCTTCTCAGTTAGAAACTATACTTTAGAAGGAACAGTAGTTTTTCTAAGGCTATGATCTCTGTTTGGTTTCCAATCAGCTAATAGTCGCAATTTTATTGCAATAGGTGCATACATGAAAACTAACTTGCTTACTTTTCATGGGTCTTACATTCACTCCATCCAGCTTTCTGGTTCTCTATAAAATGGACTGTGAGACAGTGATTCTTAACAGTTCACAATATTTTTCCTCCAAAGTAGTTTCACTCTTGGTTTTGTTAGATAAACCACACATAAAAACAGTGTTCTGCATTACCAAAATAAAACCTTAAACCACTTGTGACTAAAGAATCAAAACCCACAAAAGCAAAACAAAGCCCTGCTGTAAGAGAGGGTGCAGGATGAACACAATCATAGAATCATTTAGGTCGGAAAGGACCTGTAAGATCACACAGTCCAACTGTTCACTCAGCACTGCCAAGTCCACCACTAAGCCATGTTCCTAAGTGCCACATCTACACATCTTTTAAACATCTCCAGGATGGTGACTTCAAGACCTCCCTGGGCAGCCTGTTTAAGTGCTGGACAACCCTATTGGTGAGGAAATTTTTCCTATCATCCAATCTAAACCTCCCCATCACATTTTGTGGCTGTGTCCTGTCACTTGTGGAACATTATTTCCATAATGATAAAAGAATGATAAAAGTACTATTGACTGCTGACCTGACTATAAACCTGCTGACTCCTTGGAACCAACCTCCACATCACTGCAAGCTCCTTTGAGGCAGCTGTACAGAGGGGTAAGGTCCTCCCTGAGCCTCCTTTTCTCCAGGCTGAACACCCCTAGCTCCCTCAGCTGCTCCTCATAGGATTTGTGCTCCAGACCCTTCCCCAGCTCTGTTGCCCTTCTCTGGACAAGCTCCAGCACCTCAATATCCTTCTTGTAATGAGCAGCCCAGAACTATACACAGGATCTGAGGTGTGGTCTCCAGTGCTGGGTACAGGGGGACAATCAGTGCCCTGGTCCTGCTGGTCACACTTGCTGATACAGGCCAGGATGCCACTGCCCTTCTTGGCCACCTGGGCATACTGATGGCTCATGTTCAGCTGCTGTTGATCAGCATCCCCAGGTCCTTTCCAGCCAAGCAGCTCTCGAAACACTCTGTCCCAGCCTATAGTGATGCCTGGTGTTGTTGTGACCCAAATGAAAGACACAGGACTTTGCTTTACTGAACCTCATCAAACTGACCTCAGCCCATTGATCCAGCCTGTCCAGATCCCTCTGCAGGGCCTTCCCACACTCCAACAGAGCAACACTCCTGCCCAACTTGGTCTCCTGCAAGTGTGACTAAGTGTGCCCTTGATCCCAGTCTGTACCATTGATTAAGATATTAAGCAGGACATGCTCCAATACAGAACCTGGGGAGCAATCCTGGTGGCCAGTGGCCAGCTGGATTTCACTCATTCATCATCACTCTCTATGCCTGGCCATAGAGCCAATTCTGCACACCCCAAAGAGTGTCCCCAGCACACAGACACACACCTGATGACCTGGTTACAGTGTGCACACATGGGAGTGCGCTTCCCCGCTGGAATGTGCTCCGCCCGCTGAACCAACGTGTCTTGCTCATTTAGCTGAGGTGTTGTTGCAGCTTTTTCACTCGGGGCAGTTGTTCCAGGTGATTTAATACTGTTTGATGTCCATCCACTGACAGGAGCTGGGGAAAGAATGCCAAAAGCTTTTAGAGGACCATCTTTCAGTACCAAGTAAATTAACTTGAAACACGAGCAACCAGCAGCATTTGCCTAATATCATTGTCCAGTGTATACCAGCCTCCTTAAAGGAACGTATTAAAAAGCACTCATTTTCCCCTCCTCCCCCATTAAGTTACCAAGAAAGTCCTACCTACTTAATGAAATGTCTGTGAAATAACACAGAATGGTTTTGGCTAACTTGGAGAGGTAGTGGACAAATTTTAACATGTTGAAGAAGTTAGGTAAAAGAATATACAATCTGTGAAGGCATTTTTTTGTTTTAGATACAAAAGCTGAAGCCAAGAACATCAGTATATGAATAGAGGCAGGAGAAAATGACATACCTACTCAAAAAATTTCACAGTGAGTGCAATAGATCATACATCATTACTAACATGTTAAACAAGAACATGCATTCAATACAACATGTGTAGGAACTTAAACTAGAGTACTGTATAAGCAAAATTCATTTCTACATTGAAATTAAACACTGGTCAGGATCAGTTGATTCTGCCAATCTGAAGCACTCCAAAGGTCATGTTCACATCCTCCTTATAAAAGTATGACACAAATAAAACCCTGACATTTTCAGAAATGTATACACTACACACTTCCATGTGTACTCAGGGTTTCAGAGCCGGAGAACAGACATAAGCTTTTATGGAGTTTGAGAAATGCATTTACAAAAACAAAAGGCACAAATGATACTGTTGTAAGGGTAGTGAAGAAACAAGCAGTCCTGCGCTTTTCTTTTCACTCTATTGAAATATGTACCTTGGTAACGTAGAAGCTACAACAACATGGGTTTATGGGAGCTGTTTTTCCTGTCAAGAGGAGGTATCTTTCTTTTTCAAGTACATTATAAAAAAGCCCACATTTCCATAGCCTTTTGTTTGCAACCACAGGCAAAAGAAACCTGGAGTGTTTACTTGGTGCCCTGTCTTTAGTGCAGCCTTGCTAAACCTTGTAAATCAAAGAGTGAAATTAAGACCTGAGTGGAAACTCGGAGGCAAACAACCAAGCAATGACCAAGACATCAGACAGTGCAGGATGATGCTACTGCTGCAAAGATGCAGCTCTCCAACACCAGGGTCAAGGCATTGGTATGAAGCTTTGCCAAAAATCTAGTTTGTGGAGCTGTTAATCTTTGTGCTATTCATCCTCTCTTGTTTTTCATATCTTCCAGGGAAAAAAAGAAAAATCTTTTTTTTTTTCATCTCCATTAATGTAATGCTGATCAGCTTCTGTCCTACAGAAAAGTTGCAAGTACTTTTCAGGCAAAACACTGCATTCCCTGCTGAAAGAGAAGTGCCATACTAATTCACAGAGAAGACAGATTTAAGCAGCACTGAATCCACAGAAAATCCAACAAAAATGCCAATACTGAGCTATTTAAAGAATATAGCCAAGCACTGTACAGTTTAATCAAAATATTACCATGAACTTTAGCAATCCCCTCCTCTACTCACATGTAGGCTAACACATCTGAAAGAGAAATCCTGTTTAACACCAATGTTTTTGTACTGTAATTAAACTTGGTATTAACCTGCTGATATGGGCTCAATATCTGCTTTTGCTTACTCTTTCTGTGTATGAAGAAGAAATATACTCATATTTATTTTTTTTTTAAGTGGTTGGTTTATGAAAATTTCTCAGATCATTTCAAAACTGATGTATTTTTGGATCCTTTTCAGAACCTGAAGTAGCAAAAGGTATAACAATTCATAAGGTTTGCTTGTTTGTTTTTTTTTTTTTTTTTTAAAACAAGACTGTATTTCATGTGTGATTAATGAATCTGCAATATCTTGAAAAAATAACATCATTATTCTTGAAACATTCAACATTCCTGAGCGGAAAGAATTTAGGAATAAAGGCACTTGATCTGGAACAAGTCACTCTGCTACTGTAGCTCACTTTAGATTATAAATGCTGCTAAGCTGAAAACCTAGGAAGAGATAAAAATGAAAAAGGTGGCAGAACAGCTTTGAAGACATGAACAAAAGCGGTGTTGATTAATAGCACTTTCCTCCTCTGTCATCACACATGGTTTTTCAATTTTCAGATCCCATTTCATGAGAAGACAGGAATACACACTAAACCCAAATCTGTTTGAAGACTGCTTTTGCCATAAATCAAGCTGCAACACAGCTTCTAGTTTCTCTTTGGGTTCTCTACTGAATCCCAAAGCCCATTCAGACACATCAGCTGTCTTGTTTGCACTGTGTAGTTAAAAAAAGTGTTTCTTGCTTAAGGGGGAAAAAAAAGAGCGCAAACATCACAATTGCTCCCCTTTCTTTGTTCTCATTACAGCTTTCATTATTGCTGTTTTTCTGAATGATGCTTTTCTGAACACTACCTAACTTTGAAGTTACTACTGGCCAGGAGGAGAATTTGTCTATGTAAATCTTCTCTACAAAGCTGTTAGATCAGTCTTTTCTGAGTTATTTAAAGCACTAAAAAGTGAGAGAAGGAGATAGCCCATCACATTATAACAAAAACTCGCTTTTAAGCAAAACATAATAGAAACCACACAAATTAGTATTGTGTCAAGCAAGAGCTGTGACCTGAGCAACAACAATCTGGGCATTTAGTGCTGAGGACACTCCCTGCCCATGCTCCCACTTTGTGCCCCCAGCATTCTCACAAGAATTCTCCTTCTCTTTGCTGGTAATCACATTAAGACTTTGTTGGTCTTGCACAGTCAAAAATCCACCAGTAAAGTACTGTAATATCTATACCAATAATAAATACCTTATTTGATATACTGGCTCCTTTGTAAAACTTCTACAGTTCTCTAGATTTTTATTTTTTTTTACCATAGATCATTCTCCCTTCCTCACTACTTGATTAGCCTCAGCCTTTTATCTTCCTTGTTTCCTTCTGAACACCAGCAGGAGGACAGCTTTTATTGGCCACTTTTGTCTTTCCACAGGCCACAAACATACCTTTAACACTTCAGTAATTTCACCTAAGGTTCATTACTTCCACTGCAACCCACAGACCATTTTTTTTGTTGGTGGTGACATTTTCCTTTAGTTGCTTTGCTTTTGATTTAAAAAAACCCCACTATTAATGCTCCACTTAAATCTGTATGAATTCTCAGTACTTTTCCCAACACTATTCCTCCTCTTGTAGCTAGAGAATTTCAAATATTAGGTCTGTTTCCTTGTTTAGATAGAACACTGATATTTCCCATATATTCCTTCTACTTCAATAGCAAGTTTAACACTCCAGTGGACAAGATGCTTTTACTGCAGAGAGGAAAGGGATACTCTGAGTTCACATATTCTCTTCCCTTCCTTTCTCTTCTCTATTCCCTTGGAAATCTTTCAGATTGAAACACTACCACTTGATTTAAAAACATCAGGCCCAAAAAACTGATGCAAGTGTTTTTTTTCTTTCAACATGAAGATTTTACCAGGGCACATGAAGAATGCCAAAGTAGGTACAGATCTTTACACCCAATCTAAGTGAAAACCTCTCAGCTCTTGGCAACCAGTCTGAGCTCTCCCTGTGTTTTATACTTTGCTTTTTATATATTACACATATGGTCATCAGCTTTGTTCTCAAGGAGTACTGGGAAGATAGATGCCCCATTATCCAAGATGTGTCAAGGTACATGCACATTTTTAATTGCAAATGGTGACATTAGTAATGGAAAAGGAAATCACCCATATTTTCCTGTTGCCACCTCTGTTGCTTGAAATGGGACAAAGGACAGCAACTTTTGTGGGTGGTCTGAAGATTTAAAACAAAAATTAATAAATTGAATTAATAAATAAAATAAATAATTTATAAGAATTATACACTCCAGCAGGAGCTATTCTGACCTGAGTAACAGAGAGATTTGGGTTCTATGCAAGTTACGAGAAGATGTCAGTGGCCAAATTTTGGAGTTTTGTAGGCTTCACTTCACCTTCACTCTTTTTAATGAAACATTCTAAAGCACTATTGATTTACAATGATGTGTTGTCATTGCCTTTTTTTTCCCCTAAAACCAAAAACACTCTGTACCTGACTATTAACTTTCTACTTTATTAGGTTTAAGTTTAGCAAACCCACAGTGTTTGCTTTCACTGAACTCCTTGGTATGGCTAGTTTAATATTTAACAATCTTTTAGGCAGGATAAAGAACTGCCTCTTTTTTTTCCCTTTTTTAAAAATCCCAGTGTGACTTTGCCCTTGTTAGTCTAACAATAGGTTGTTCCATCGCTGAGCACATGGATAACTGCAAACAGTGCTGAAAGGTTTGGAAGACAAAGGGAGAAAGGCGGATACACAGCGGTGCCAAAGTCACTTTGACAGAGGTTCTCTGGTGCGTAGCAACAATACAACAGCCTGAACTGTTTAACGCTCACTTAAACATAACATCAGCCTTCATGTAATATCTATAAATAACAATGCTACTCCAAGCAGTGGGAGTGCCAGAACTTCATTTTAAAGTGTTCTAACTCAGTGATTTATGCACCGCAATCAAACTACTGTATTATAAATGGAAAATATAAAGCTTCATACATCCAATTTTCTGACTTTTCGTAATATATCTGTACTGTAAGAAATCTTCCTGTTCCTTCTCTCAAAACCAAACAGATGGCCGGATGAAGCAGCGTGTCTGAAAAGCTCTGCTGTCAGCTCACTGTGCTGGCTGCATGCAACACCCCATCCACTCCCAGGCCTGCATGAAATCACACAAGTTCAGTGCAGAATGCTACAGGACAAGTACAAGGTGAGGAAAAAAACAAAACCTAAAAAAACTCCCCCCAACAAGCGCAAAGCTCAACCCTTGTATTCCATAGTTGTTTCTTTTGTTTCTCATGGAGTCTTGGAAACAAAGTCAGAGCTAAACTCCTTTTGCTGATTAAAGGCAGAACAGGACGAATTAAACCATTATCATGTCTTTAAATGCAGGGTGAAAGCTGTATGCACCCGTGGAAAATCAAAACAGGTGTTACCTTGGCCCCAT